AATGAATGAGTGGAAGCCCAAAATCTCTGTAAATGTTTATGAAAATTAATAAAATATAATTATAGAAAAAAAAATAGATAGACCTAACAGTGAATAATGCCAGGGAAATATGAACTTTCCAGAAAAATCACCCATACGAAATCAATGTTAGCATTTATACAGTGATGAGGCTAGCAGCAGAAAGAAAAGAAAAAAAAATAAATAAACAAGGAGAAAAAAGGATGACCGGAAACCAGAACATACAGAGAAAGTGAAGCTTATAAATGGGGTTGCAAATCAATATATGTATGAACTATTGACAGGATAAGCCAATTTGCTCTGCAGACTTCTACCTGGAACACAATAGGGTGATTGTTTCAGCAGCACATATACTAAAATTGAAACAATACGGAGAAGATTAGCATGGCCCCTGCATAAGACTGACACATAAATTCATGAAGTGTTCCATATTTTTGAAATGGGAAAATTCCTTGAAAGTCATGTCCTGCCCAGATTGACTAGGAAAGATACAGAACCCTTGAACAGACTCAACACCAAAGAAATTGAAAAGGTCATAAAAAGACTTCCCCATAAGAAAAGTCCTGGACCAGATGGTCTCACAGCTGAATTCTACCAAATATGCAGAGAGAATTTAGCACCCGTAAATTATTTCAAAAAATTGAAAAAGAAGAAACACTCCTACGGTCTTTCTATGAAGCAAGCATAACCCTAATACCAAAATCAGACAAAGATTATTATCAAGAAACAAAACTACAGAACTATAGCTCTTATGAACATGGATGCAAAAATCCTTAACAAAATCCTAGCCAATAGAATCCAAGATCACACACACAAAAACTAATTCACCATGACCAAGTGGAATTCATAACAGGTATGCAAGGATGGTTAAAATAAGAAAAACAATCAATGTAACTCGCCATATTAACAAAGAAAATAATAAGAACAATATGATCTTAGCAATTGATCTACATCATTTGTCAAGAGGCATTTGACAGAATCTAAAACCCCTTCCTGATAAAGACACTGAGCACAATTTAAATAGAAGGGAATTTGCTCAACAGAATCAAAAGTATATATGCAAAACCCAGAATCAACATCATTCTCAATGGAGAAAGACTAAAAACATTGTCCTTGCAAACAGGAACCAGACAAGGATGCCCACCATCACCACTTCTATTCATTGTAGTATTACAAGTGCTTGCTAAAGAAATACCACAAGAGAAGGAAATAAAAGGCATCTAGATTGGCAAAGAGATGGTTAAACTACAGCTATATACAGATGATATGATAGTATACACAGAAAACCCCAAAGACTCAACAAAAATACTGTTTAGAGTTAGTAACCCATAAGATCAATATCCAAATATCCAATATCCAAATATCCAATATCAGTAGGATTCCTCTACAGTAACAAAGAGAACTCAGAGAAGGAAACCAAGAAAGCAATACCACTTACAATAGCCGAACACAAATTGAGATACTTGGCAGTGAACCTAACTAGAGACACAAAAGACCCAGACAAAGAAAACTACAGAACCTTTCTGCAAGACACAATAAAAGAAATAGAAAAATGTGCTCTGTTCATGGATAAGAAGTTTCAATATTGTGAAAAAGACAATCCTACCACAAGCAATCTACATGTCCTATGCAATCCCAATACAGATAAATAATAAATTCATTTTTCAAGGAGATTGTAAGGGAAATTATCAAATTTATTTGGAAAGGCAAGAGACCTTGAATAAGCAAAATATAAAATTAAATAAAATAAGCAAAACAAAAATTAGGTGGGAGGCATAGCACTCCCTGACCTCAAAACTTACTGTATAGCAGTAGTAACCAAAACAGCATGGTACTGATACTATGACAGGCACATAGACAATAAGAACAGAATTAAGAATCCAGAAACAGACCCAGCTATCTATGGTCAACTGATATTCAACATGGAAATAAAACCTATCAAATGGGGAAATGACAACATGTTCAAAAAATGGTGTTGATAAAACTGGACTGCTACCTGCAGAAAGCTGAAAATGGGATCCACATCTCACACCATAAATCAAAATCAACTCAAGCTGGATCAAAGACCTGAGAGTAAAGCCCCAAACCATGAAGTTCATAAGAGACAAACTAGGATCAAGCTTAGAAGGCCTAGCTTAAAGCATAGAGAGACTGCTGAATACAGCCAGAAATGCACAGTCTGAAAAGGATAAAATAGATGAATGAGACCTTCTAAAGATTAAATCCCTCTGAGGATCAAAAACTTTTGCCAACAGAGTGAAAAGAAAACCTACCAACTGGGAACAAACATCTGGCAGTACCGTCTAGAATACTCCTGGGCCTCCACAAGAAAAAGACCAATAACCCAATTACACATTAGACAAAAGACTGGGAAAGAACTTTCACAGAGGATGATATTCAAATGGCCAACACACACATGAAGAAATGCTCCAAATCACTGGCAATAATAGAGATGAAATTAAAATGAAACCAAAATAAAACAAAATCAAAAACCATGACGAGATATTGTCACACTCCAGTAGCGGTGACAAAGTTAAACAGGACAGCAAGTAATAAATGTGGAAGAGGATGTGGAGATATGTTGTTGTTGTTGTTGTTGTTATGTGCCGTCGAGTCACTTGCGACTCATAGCGACCTATGTACAACAGCCCTAAACTCTGCTCTGTCCTGTGCCAATCGCACTGTTTCTGACACTCCCATCCCAATTATCCCAGTCACTGTATCAATCCACCTCATAGAGGGCCTTCCCCTCCTCCGCCGCCCCTCCACCCTCCCAAACATGATGTCCTTCTCCAAGGACCGGTCTCTCCTC